AAATAATAAATGACGTCTACTGCATCATCTGTGATCGGGCTCTAATCTATCTCTGATCTGAAATAGTATAAAGAATGAGATACACTAACCCAGTAAAAATATCACTCTACTCACCGACACATAAATGAAAGTTGGTAAAAATCATAAAAACAACTAATGTATTTCTTAATTAAGCAAAATTATTTATCGTAAATAAAATTATTTACCGTATACTTATCATAGCGAGATTTACAAAAATAACCTATAGAGTCTATTACATAACACATACCATAATTTCATATGCAATCGGTCTGAATAATAATTTTTTCTTTTATCAGCCTACTAGTATGTATGGGGGTCCATAAGTATGTTCCCACAACGTGTGAACCTTTTTTTTATAACATTTCTAATTAATAAGTTATCCCAATACCTCATCCGGTATGAGTGCCAAATTATTAAATCTCGAGACTCCGTCCGATATGAGGGTGAAACGAGTCGTCCCTATATCTTATCCGGTATGAGCGTCAAATTACCAAACTTCGATACTCCGTTCGGTGTAAGACAACGTTCACGGTAGGGTTTTCTATGTACCCGATCTGTCCACCATCTCCCAGAATATCTAGTAAGGTTTCTATTTCATCAATTCACTTAATTAAATAGTTTTTCTATTTCTTTTAATTTTTAGTTTCTCAATTCAACCATAATCACGTGAAACAAGCAATACATGCATTTAAACTATAAGATCAATCAATCACATATTATCATGCATTCAAACTGTAAAATAAATCAACAAAATCAACAGTGAATAATTTTCGATTCTGACTCCATTAGTGACCTGTAATTAATCATGAATATTTTCTAAATTGACCAAAATACTATATTATTATTATTAATTAGATTTCAATTCTATAACATAGAATAAAGTGAGAGATTCTTACTCAAATTAATGTCTGAAGTGCTAAACTTGTTGACTGCGCCTACTGACGGTTCCCAAGTTCACTGAATTTTCTTTTAGGGATTAAAACGCGCTTTAAATACCTAAAAATATTTAAAAAAATTTAAAATCAATGTTAGGAACCCTTTTTGGCCAATTCTAGAATTCCAGCACAACGGTTCCGCCGTGCTCCTACGACGGCACAATCGCCCGCGATAACGATTTGCCTCGGGTCGGTTGTTTTTGGCCATTTTCGGTCAAATTCGGCCGGTTTTGTATTAATTCCTGCGAGAAAACTCCTTAAGAGCCTTGGTTTGCCGAAATTTTTTTAAAAAAATAGAAACTCACCGGCGGCGGGGGTTCTTCGATGCAGCAGCTCCGCCGACTCACCTTTGCAGTTGGGTATTTTGCTTTGGTTAACTAGAAAAGGAAACGATGATTACAATGGTGGAAGAATTACGCATAATGAAAATCGGGAAGGACCTCATCAGAGGCGATTTTTGCAATTTTTCATCGCGGCGGTGTTGGACTTTACTCGCGGTTTTCGGTCAATCCACTGGTTCTTTTGCTCCAATTTGGCCATGGGGGTATTTAAAATCGAATTATGAGTTAAGGATAAAATTTTTACCTCTTTTGGTGGTTGGAAGTGGTTCCAGCGCAGCAGTGGTGACGGTCGACTTCCTTTTCGGCTGCTGGGTCTTATTCTCCAGCGGGAGGGGTCTGGCAGATAGGGTTAGGGTTTGATGTGAAGATAGTTATTTATATCTGTCCATTTTTAATCCGGGTCATATATCGCGTTTGATCTGAACCGTCAGTGCGCGCGGGAACGAATCTGAACCATCTGATCGCGGGCACGCAGATCGCTAGTGTGGCCTCCCGCGTGGCACTACATCAGCGTCCCTTGCCACGCAGCGGACTTTGATTTGTCGGGGTTGCTGACTGAGCGTCCTACGTATCACAATTTTTTTAAATTATATTTTGACCATTTTTTTTCGATTTTTCTTTCAAAAACACATTAAGAATCCAAATTTTCATTTATTTTTTCTAAAATTATTTTCAATTTCATCATCCAATTATTTTTCTTAATTTTTTAATTAAAATAAAATTAAAAAAAAAAATAAAAAAATATATTAGTATATTAATTTTAATTATATTAAAATTAATTAATTAAGAGTATTACATATATCAACTATTTTCATTTGAGAAATTAAAGATTAAGTTAATTCTAATTTTGTTACTGCAACTCCATCGTTATACTAGTTAATTTTACTAATATACTCTAATATTTCAAAATTGGAAGTATGAAATAAAATACAAATTGATTTTTTTTTAAAATAAAAATTAGAAATATAAAATAAAGCATAGATCCATTATTTTTTTTTTTCGAAAAATTAAAAACTATATCGAATTCAATTTGATCACTATAATTCTATTAACGTACTAATAAATAAAGTAACTAGTTTCATTTAATTAAATATTATAAACTAATGTCATTTTACGAATACTCATAAAATTATAAATTCTATATTATTAATGACTTTTACATTTTTAATAATATTTTAAGTAACATCTTCAAGTAAAAGACAATGATCTTACTTACTAAATCGCCGCGTTAGTGCACAAATTCGAAGTTTTATCACCATATCCATTCCCCTTCTAATACTGACCTACTAATTTTTGGGCAGACTAATGTTCGCCTCTTTTTTTTTAGAGTTTAAGTTTGCATAATTTATATATTCGATATCTAATTGTATTTTTATTCATTAACCAAATCAAAAGGCTTGAATTTTTCCTCTGTTGCTGCCGTTTCTCATCTTGAGGTGTAGAGTTTAGAAGTGCGCTTCGTATTTTTATTTATTTTACTTTAAGCATAATTTTTTTTTTATTTTTTAAGAGAATAGTTTTTTTTATATATATATAAAAATATTTTATGGGTTATTAATTTAATTATTTTAAAAAATATTGGAATGGAGACAAACTATTGGTTTGCTTAAAGACTCAAGGATGGATCTGCAATAGATGATAAGTTTCTCCTCAGAGTTATAGATCTTAACCGTCCGTTACGGGGACTTATTTATACGGACGGTCCAGATCCGTGAGGGAAGTGGAAGGAGATGTATGAGATTGCGGGTCCCTCTTCCTCTCCTGGGCTGGGATAGTGGGATTTGAAATTCAAACCTTCTTCCCCCAGAATTCGAGTCGTCATCATCATTAAAAATTAAAATCCTCATCAAGCGCTCTTCAACGGTCCTTTTTACGTCAAACGGCTATTCTCTCTCTCTCTCTCTCTCTAAAATTGTGAATCGAAATTTTGAACCCTCCAATTTCGCATTTTCCATTGCTCAGTTTCCAGGCGGAGAAAGATATTGTTTTCTAGGGAAAATCTTACTTCTATTTTGCAGCGATAGAGAAGTAAAGTTCTCAGGAGAAAGGCCATTGTTAATTCTGTCCAGGTTTGTTTTCAATCTCCCTTCATTTTTCATTCATTTCCATTAATCCTCTGTTTGGCTGACAAGAAAATTTTTGAGAAAAGAGGAGGAAATATCTCGTCATTTTGAATCCCTGCTTCGTCCGTTGCATAAGATTGTGAGATTAGAAATGCTCCATCCGGGAATTGGAGCACAATTTCGTTTTTTCACAATGTCAAAAGGGTATTCTTTTTATGTTTCTATGATTTGAATTGCGAACACAGAATTCATTTTTGATGACCTGGACGCGAGTATTTATCTCGCTTTAGCCTCTTGGGTAACCATTCAACCACTAATTTAATATTTATGCCCGAAAATACCACCCTCTTTTTATTACTCTACTCCTACTTCGTTATCTGATGAGATTTTTATTCCAGTTAGTTTAACTAGCTGCAGAGAATTTTAGCGAATTTCTTCTAGTTCTGGAACGGGGATTGTTTATTAGGTCTTCATCATGTCAGAAACTTGCAGATATCCTTCAGCTCTATTTGACAAGTGAAGTGTGAATATGATCATTTACTGAGCAGTTAAAAGTTCTATACGTTTTTTCTTGCTTTGTGCATTTAATTATAGTTGCCTTCAGATTATGGAAACCATTCTTTTTGGCAGGAACAAGTGCTTCAAAATGTCTAATGTTCAAAATGATCCGCTTCTGCAAGTTGAAACGACATGTGGATCACTTCTATATGAACTTCAGGTTTCTGTAAATTCCTTTGGAAAGAGACAACTACATGTCTCATTAAATTCCCGCTTTTCATTGTTCTATAAAACCCATTCGATATGGTATTTTGTAGTACAACATATAATATTGGTTTTTTTTTTTCTCTTTTGATTCACTTCAAATATCAGATAATTTGGGATGAAGTTGGGGAGACTGATACAGACAGGGACAAAATGCTCCTGGAGCTTGAACAAGAGTGCTTGGAAGTATACAGAAGAAAGGTTGACCAGGCAAATCGCTGTAGAGCTCAGCTAAGACAAACAATCGCTGACTCTGAAGCCGAACTAGCTGCCATATGTTCCGCAATGGGAGAACGGCCAGTGCATATTAGGCAGGTAAGTTGAAATCTGATATCTGGGTGCGATATTATTTTATTTTACCAATTTTTTTTGCTCTCACTGTATTAGTTGACTGGTTTTAGATTGCTTTAATAGTAACTTTTGAATGTTGGTTTAACTATTGGCTTGCCATAAAATGAGATCAAATTTCCAGAATTCCTATTAAAGTTACTGAAAGTCAGGAATTTTACAGAATAAAGCGCATGGAAGATAAAAGTTATTAAGAAGACCAAAACAGTAGGCCATTGCACCACATAGTAAACATTTGCATAGTTTGAAAGGCTAGATTGTAAATTAGATATGAAGGAACATGCCTGTATGTGTAACTAGAAATTAAAACAATTTACTGTGGAAGCCAAAGCATTTACCAAAATCTCTATTTCAGTCTGACCAAAACGCGGGTAGCTTGAAAGAAGAACTTAGGAGAATTCTTCCCCAACTGGAAGAGATGCGGAAAAGGAAATCTGACAGAAGAAATCAGTTTGTAGAAGTTCTAGAGCAAATACAGCAGATCACAAATGAAATTTATGGATCTACAATCTATGTCTCTCCACTAGCAGTTGCAGATGAAACTGATTTGTCCTTAAGGAAGCTTGAGGAATTACATAGACAGCTCCATGAACTTCAGAAAGAGAAGGTTCACTTTTTCTATACTGTTTTCCTCTCTGTTTCTGTCTCTTTAAATTTAATTCTAAGCTTCTTTCCTGGTGCATATTTTTCTTTTGCATACAGAGTGATCGGCTGAAGCAGATTCAGGATCACCTGAATACTTTGAACTCCCTTTGTTCAGTGCTTGGGTTGGATTTTAAGAATACTGTTAGCCAGGCCAGTCCTAGTTTAGGTGAATCTGAAGGACCAAGGAGTATAAGCAACGATACAATTGAACAGATGGCTGCCACAATTCAGAAACTTCGAGAAATTAAGATACAAAGAATGCAGAAGGTAGATATTAGCTTTTCCCCAGACACAATTCAGATTTTATCATTCCCCTTTTCACATTGTTGACCCTTCGCACCATGACAGCTCCAAGATCTTGCAAGTACAATGTTGGAGCTCTGGAATTTGATGGATACACCAATAGAAGAGCAGCAGGAGTTTCGAAACGTTACATGTAATATTGCTGCTTCAGAGGATGAAATAACCGAGTCCAACAGCCTCTCTATGGATTTCCTGAAATATGTAAGTTGCAGCTGTAGCAGATTGAATTGTTCTCACAAGCTTGTTAGGTTTGTACTTTTGTGAAAGCTTCATAGATTTATTTTGAAATTATTAAAGAAATAAATATTATATTCAGGTTGAGGCAGAGGTGTCTCGGCTGGATGAGCTGAAGTCTAGCAAAATGAAAGAGCTTGTTCTGAAGAAGAGGTCAGAGCTTGAGGAAATCTGTAGAAAGACACATATGGTTCCAGAACCTGATAATGCAATGGAATATGTCATTGAAGCCATGGAATCTGGTATTAGCCTTTGCATAAACCATTGCAGTCCTAATAGGTTTTATCTAATATTTGCTAAACGCTTTTTTCACTCATACTGGTTCAGGAGAAGTAGATCCGGCAAGTGTACTTGAGCAAATTGAGCTTCAAATTGCTAAGGTCAAAGAGGAAGCTCTAAGCAGGAAAGAGATACTTGAAAAGGTTGAAAAATGGTTGGGTGCATGTGAAGAAGAAAGCTGGCTTGAGGAGTACAACAGGGTGGGTGTTTGAGTAATCTTTTTGTACGTGATTTTTTCCCCTCTGCGGCTTGACTATCCTTTTGTTTAACTTTCACTTCTTATGGCACAGGATGAAAACAGATACAATGCTGGAAAAGGTGCCCATCTCACTCTCAAGCGTGCTGAAAAAGCTCGCTCTCTGGTTAATAAGCTACCAGGTAAATTTTGTGCCATAAATATTTATTATAAACTAAACTAGAACACCCGATGTGCATGAAGCGAATATCAAAGTTGTATCTAATCAACTTTTACTTTGGCTGTTTTTCATAAAAAAAATTTGTTTATATCATAACGTTTCAGGAATGGTTGATGCATTGGCTTCAAAGACGATATCATGGGAAAAGGAGACAGGAATTGAATTCTTCTATGATGGTGTACGTACCCCTGTTGAGAGGGCTATGTTTCATGTATTAGGGGGTTCTGTTAAGATTTGTCAAGCTTTCTATTACTACTAGTTTAGATATATCTGAACTGTCCCCATACTCTTTCTCTTTCCAGATTCGTTTACTTTCAATGCTAGAAGAGTACACCATATTACGCCAGGAGAAAGAGCAAGAACGCCGTAGACAGCGGGTAGAGATTTCTCCTGTTCTGTAAAATTGTGCTTAGTTATGATAGTTACTGAGACTTTCTACTAATAATGACTTCAAAATTGTTTCTCTATTTCAGGACCAGAAGAAACTTCAGGGACAGCTTATAGCAGAACAAGAGGCACTCTATGGATCAAAACCAAGCCCATCAAAGCCCCAATGTGGAAAAAAGGGTCCTAGGGTTTCAACTGGAGGAGCAAGCAACAGAAGAGTATCCTTAGGAGGAAATACGATTCAGACTCCTAAACCTGATTCGTTTAACCCTGGAAAAGCTACTCCACGTCCTAGTAAGAAAACTGATCAGCTGCTTCAAAACGATACTTCAAGTCACAGGCAGGATGATAGCTTTGCAGCTTTTTCAACTGGTAAGTTTCTTCAACCACATTTCATCAATTATCAAAAGGGTCATGGTATTGTTGCACTTTTTACACAGGTTAGAATTCACCAAAACCTTTCTTCTTTATTTCTTACACTGAATGATTACTCGCCTAACTCCCAAGTATGTTGACATTCTTTAGTCCTGAATCTGTTTGGTGCTTTCTCATTAACGGTAAAACCATTAACGCCATTGCTACCAGCTGAATCATAGCTGAACTCCATGAACTATTACTTTTACTTCATTTATTCACCAATTGTAGGTAGAAGAGGCTTGGACATTGCTAGTCTTCCTGTGAAAAAGCAGTCTTTTGGTGCATCAAATGTCTGTGAACTAGAGTCACCAATGATTCGAAAACCTTTCTCATCCATCTCTACTGTAATATCATCAAAAGCTAATATGGCAGATTCAAACACAACGCAAAGCGATATGTTACAGAAAGGAGTACCAGTTAGTGAGTTGGGATTTGCTACTCCTGTGAAGACTACCACCACAACTCTTGCAGATGAAGAGAACAGAACGCCCAAGACAATGCCAATTTCTATGCCTGCTACACCTGCAACTGTCTCAGTAGCAATGCAGATGGCTATAACTCCAGCTCCACCACCTCCTCCACCAATTCCTTATGGTCCCAGTCCTGTTGAAGATCCCGAAGAGATTGAATATTCTTTCGAGGAAAGAAGGCTCGGTTTTGTGCTTCCAGGGACACATGTTAAGCCGATACTACAAGTTTAATTTTTGAACTTTAATCAAATTGTTGTTATAGCAAGTTTATCAATATTTCTTTTTGTCTGTTTTGGAGAGAATTTATGTAGATAAGTCAATTGTAATTGGCTTCTCTTCTGATTTGTGTACTTAGTCTACGAGCAATGAACGTGGACTAGGATGCTGAAATTGCTATGATGATTGAAGTGAACAAACTTTGAAGGAGGCTTTGAATAGAACTTCATTGTTTCGCAGCTTGAAAATTTGGTGTAACAACTAGTAAGCTCTATTAAACTATAATATCATCAGTTACCCGATCTAGTTGTTTAAATCTTGGTGTCAAACAATAACTTAAACACAAACTTTTTTAACTTGAACAATACCCGCTATTAATCTGTTTATCTTGTGCATCAAACTGAACGGTAGGTTTTTTATAGTGTCTCAGAAATTCTGGTAGTATGTAGTGTTTATATATATATGTATATGTTCGGTGTTATACAATGGAGTTCAGAAACTTTGCCTGAGAGAAGTGAGAAGTGAGAACTGCAGATAAGTTGGGTGACTTGAACTGTAAGCAATCACTTAACACTGCAAGTCTAAATTTGGAAGTTTCAAGTAGATTTAGTTTAAAATACTTTACCAAAAATGGAAAATATTATTTTCTTAAACAAACCAAATTTTGTTTTCATTACCATTTGCTGCTGTCTAGTTTCATTTGAAGACACTCAGACAGACAACATGCCTAAACAAGTTCCATAATTACAAAGTACAACCTTAATTTCTGGTTTCCATTTTATTTAGCGTACAGTGGCATTAACAGTAATTCTTTAAGATAGAAGGGTGTTTAATTTTAAATTTTGTACGGGCATTTAGTCAACTTTAGTTTAATTCAGAAGACCAAAAAAAAAAAAAAAATGTCAGGTGGGAAATAATAAAAATGGCTGCAACTCTTAGCTTTACAGCTTTAAATAAATTTTTTAAGACTTTAAAAATAATTAAATAACATTTTCAAATATAAAATGCTAATTCTTTTTATAAAATTTTAATATTTTTTTAATTCTGAAATTTTCTTCCTCTGCCATTTATTAATTCACCTTTATTAAATTTCCTAGACGGACGTGAACCATTTTCTTAACCAAAATTTATACTTTGAATTTTGCAATTAAAATATTGATTAGTAATTAAATTCACAATATTAAATCATAATATATTTTATTTTATTTAATTTTTCTAAATTTTTTTTTCTACTTTATTTATTTATCCTTCTTTTGTTGCAAAACCCTAAATTCGCTTCCCTGGAAATTTCTGTATTTTCTCCAAAAATCTGCATTTTTTTCCTTGTAATTCTTGCTAGTTTATAATTTTTTTTTTCTTTTTTTTACAGAGATTAAGTTGCAAGAACTGAAGCTCTGTATGTTCTGTATAATGGTGCAGATTTAACCAGAGAATTTTGCTTCGTAGAAGGAGCTTCATAACTGTAGCTCTTGATCCTTGAAGATTCCAGCGAAGTTGTAGGGTTTTTGCAGTTCTTTGAATTTATAGCTGTTTAATTTCCATTTTTTATGCTACTTGTCTTCTATTTTTTGTATTTTGAGCTAATTTTCTTCAAAACATTTCATTTGTTTTTTTGTAAGCTTCTGTTGTAGACTTACTGTTTGAGTTTTTCTGGGAACTTGAGTTTTCAAAGCTTGAAACTTCAATTTGTTACAGGTTTTTGGGGTTTTAGTCTAGTTTAGTTTTCTGGGTTTTTTTTTTTCTTTCCCTTTTTCTCTTCTTTTGACTTCCTTTGAAAATCTCTGATCTATGAATGGAGGACAAAGAGGGAATTAGCCCTAGTGGGGTCACAGTGAAGGGAAATGAAGCTCCTGATAGCTACCATGTGGCCCCAAGAACTGAAAACCCTAGTTCTAGCCCGTTTCCCGGTCCCACAATGGCGGCCACCGCTGCTCCTCCTGTTAGCGTAGCAATGGCGGTGACCGGCACGGGCTCAAAGATGAGAGAAACGAGGGAGACCCAGGAGTACGGTCCAGATGGGACTGTCTCCACCGCGTTGTCACCGATGCCTATCTCATCGTCGATTCCGCTTAGCGGAGAGTTTTCTGCTGGGAAACGAGGTAGAGGGCGGCCGGTTGATTCAGTCAAGAAGTCACACAAATTTGAATTTGAGACTTCAGGTAATCTTATCGGGTCCTTTCTTCTTTTCCTTTGAAACCTCAAGGGGGGTTTTATTTACTTTTTCAAAAGAGAGTTTTGTTAGTTTAGTTTACCGTTATATTATAATGATACTGGATCTGTTTTTGGTGTTGGGTGCCAGTGGGTTTGCGCTATATCTATGTTGATGACGATGGGTATAAATATTCTGGGTCGTTTTATGTGTGGATAGAAAGTGAGGTAGGCTAGTCTGGTAGAAAGGAGTTTAGGGTTTTTGGAAGCTTTTAGAGTTGAATTTAAGAGGATATTTGTGGGGTTTGATGAGGAAGTGGGACCGTTATATCTGAGTTTTGCCCATATCTGAAATTAATGGTAGTTGTGAGGGACAAGAGGATTTGATTTGATTCTGTAAAAACTGAGGGAATCTCTATCCCTTCTGGCTAGAATACTGTACTTATTATTGCCTTTTGCTTGGGAAAAATAGCACACTCCTTCCTGCCAGGAAAAAAAGAACAGGGTGAGAATTTGTGGGAAGTCAGCTGATTTGACCTTTTCTAAATCTGTCTCACCCATGTAATTATTTTTAATAGAGGTTCTGGGTTTTGTGCTGGATGGCTGGAAACAAATGATTTTGATTGCATGAGATTCACATGGAAAAGTTAGCAGATTATTATTACCAAACAATATAAAAAGCTGTTTAAGTGTCGTACCGAAAGCTACTGAGTTAGTATTCACACTGTTATCGAGCACTATGGTCAAACATTACTTTCACCATGATTTCGTCTTCCATTCAGGTTGTGTTAAATTTGATAGTCCATTACCAGAAGAAGTCTGTGTAAGAAATGTAAAAGAATTTTACTTATTATATCATTAAACAGTCTACAAATTAATTCCAGTTGATATTAATTTTTTGCATCCATCTACAGGACTAAATGCTGAATTAGCTATGCTAGTCTTGTAGTTTCTTTGCTCTGACATGATCTGTTAACTATCTTTTCCAGTTTGATTTTTTTCCTGTCTGTAATTTAGATTAATGAGTTTTATTCAAGTTCAAGCTTCTCCAATTTCACGTATACTATTTTTTTCCGAAAAATTATTCTCTAGGTGACCGAATTGCGTATTTTGTCGGTGCAAACTTTACACCCCATGTAATCACTGTTAATGCTGGTGAGGTACGTCCAAATATATCTTCTTTGTTCTCTTTGTTCTTTCTTTTGTTTTTTTTTTCCTTTGTTAGTTCTAACAGACAAATAGAAATAAGACTAGAGTCCTCTGAGAACAGCTAATTTCTTTGTCTGTGAGAGCTCCTTCCCTCAATTTCAGCAAGTAGGATCAAACATTTTGTACATATGTGCACGATTTTTTTTTAAATAATGTGCACATGATTCATGTTTACACAATAATAAACTAATGTGTGAAAAGTTTCTTATGTAGTAGAAAATAATTTAATGTTAAAAAGAGTATTATACATATTTGTTTCTTTAATATGTACTGGCTTTCAAAGATTTGTGTTTGGTTCTTATGTCACCGATCCGGCCGGTGTAGTCCCATTGAAAATTGCACGTGCTGCAAGAATGCAGAGCATCTGATTCATGCATTAGAGTTGACGGAAGGAGCCTTTATAAAATTGATGCATTGTGCGAATTGATGTATAACCCGAAAAGGCAAAAGTGATGCATTGTGTGAGTTGATGTTAATCCAAAAAGGCAAAGTTTTATAGAAATGACAATAGTATGTTGCATTATGAGAAGTACACTTTTCTATATTATCAAACACTAGGGGATTATTCATCGAGCAGGTTCAGTTTAATGGTAGCATTGCTTATCAGGGTACTGTTTACTTCTTTGCAGTTTATATACAGGGGACAGCTATACAATTTTTTAAGGAGAAAGACTTAATCATGTTGTTTAAGTTGAATTTTTTGGTATTTGGTCTGCATTTTTTACTTCTTTCCTGATTTTTCCAGGATGTAACAATGAAAATTATGTCGTTTTCTCAACAAGGATCTCGTGCCATATGCATTCTCTCTGCAAATGGTACAATTTCAAATGTTACACTACGTCAGCCTACTTCTTCTGGGGGTACTCTAACATATGAGGTGATGGCCTTTGTCCCTTTTTGATATATTTTGCACATATGGAGTGTGTTTGATTTTTGAACAACTGGTGAATGTGGTCTTGTATGCTTGTTTCTTTTTTCTGTACATGCAAATTACTGTCTAGTCTGTGGCGGGATTGTCTTATCTTGAATGTTTCTAGATCTTTAGTGTGTATATATGTTTTGTCTGTTTTCATTGACTTGCATTTTTTTGTAGATTCATGGACTTTCATTTAAATTTTCATTTCTGAACAATTGCATTGACTTCTTCAGTCACAGAGTGTAAGGAAGGTTTTGGAGACAGAAGAATATGTCCCCTCCTATTCAATTGGTATGTTAAAGAAAATAGCCAGTAAATAAAGCTAACAATCGGGCAAAAGTAAAACATTTTACTTGAGAGTGCTGGTTAGCGTGTCTGAAGCATACTTCCAGTATGGAGAAGAACATGCTAGAAGCAACCTCTCCAAGTCAGCCATTGAGGAAATTGCTGCTCTAAAAGATATTGCGCTTAACATGCATTACAAGGATTATTGCAGGGTGACTTTTGGGAAATCACACATATTATCTTAGTAACCTTCTCTTGGTTTTATTTCGTAATTTGAGCTCACCATTACTGTGACATGAATCTTTTTTTTTTTTTTTATGTGGAGTTGAGAGAGATTGATCAAACTTATGCAGCACGAAGTGTTTTCATGTGAATCTCTTCAAGATAAAATTATCAATCTACTATTCTCTTGAAGCATTCCTTTGCATCAACTGAAATCTGTGTGTTTCTCTCAAATTAAAAGATTGCAAAAGGTTAAAAATGGTTAAAGCAACCATCTTTGCTGCATAACTAACAAGAAATGTTCAATTCTTTTGAATTTTTTTGCAGGGTCGGTTTGAGATTCTGTCCTTATCTGGGTCATTCATGCCTACTGAGAATGGAGGTACAAAGAGCAGATCTGGTGGAATGAGTGTCTCTTTAGCGGGCCCAGATGGTCGTGTTCTTGGGGGAGGACTTGCTGGTCTATTAGTTGCTGCTGGCCCCGTGCAGGTACGAATATAATCTAAAAAGCTAAAGCAAAAAAGAAAGAGGATATACTGTTCAAGTCATTGGGTTGTTAATATTCCCCTGATAATTTAGAGTAGAAGGTTTATTGCCTCGATGTAGCATAACCAAGATGGTAAGGGGATCAAAGATGCAATTACCTTTTTCTGCCAACCTTTACAGGTTTTTTTTTTTTCAGCCTCTGATATGAGCATGGATTCATGGTTGAAACACCTTACTGAACTTTTCTGTCAGGTTGTTGTGGGCAGTTTCTTACCCGGTCACCAACAGGAGCAGAAGCACAAGAAGCAAAAAACTGAGCCTGCACCAGTTATTACCCCAGCCAACATAAATGCCATCCCCACAGAAGAAATGAAAGTGACCTACAGTCAAATAAAGCCAATTCTCACACATTCCTCATCATTCCACGGGGACAATTCAGCTTCTCTGAACCCCATCCAGGGTTTTCGAAACTCCATTGTTGACAATAATAAAGAATCTTCGACTGGAGAGGAATCTAAAGGCACCAGCCATTCAAACTGTGATGTCTCCAGTTGATCATGCCTGTGTACGCAGATCTTATCTTCATTGTTTTTCTGCAGATACCACTGTGTAGTTCCGAAACCATATAAAGAAGAGAAGAAAAAAAAAAAGAAAAAAGAAAACTCGAACCGGCTGTTTACGAAGGAGAAACTAGGTGTTGACTTAGTGTTTGTTTTAACTGAGAATTTACTGTGGTTAGGTTTAGGCAGAACTCTTGATTAATAGGATGATTGTGTCTGGCTGGCTGTTGTCATGTATTTTCTAATGTTGTGGTGTTTAGTGTAGCATTTTAGTTGGACTTGGAACCCAGTGTGCCATTATTCATCTGATTAAGCTCTTCTGTATCTTCTGAGCCGAGTGATTAAATTAAGTTGATGTTGCTTTCACCAAGTGTTCATTTTCAGTTTTAGTTTAAATATGCAGCAAGTACCCATCGCGTAAACATCATCTGGTTTTCTTTGTTCCCTTGGACTTTCATCTTTTACGATATGATATAATATTCTAAATGGAAACCAGAGCTAGCAAATGAAATAAAAAAATAGATAGATATATATATATATATATGTATATATATAGAAGAAGAGACTGTTTTCTTTACTCGGGATGAGTATTGATGGGGAAAAATAATCAGATCGGAACAAAATCGGACCGGACCGAACTTGAAAAGAAAAAATTTCGAGACCGAAATTAGGATTGAAATTTTTTGGTTCGATTGGGTGGAAACCAAAGTGGACAAAAGAAATTAAATGTTAAAAATTCTTCTAGTTCATAATTACTAAAATTAAATTAAAAATAATACTAACAATAAATTAACAAAAAGGTTTTAGGTTTTAACTTTTTTATATTTATATATTGAATATTTAATTTTGTAAAATATTTAAATTAACCGGTTCAATTGAACCGGACCAGATCGAGCATTATTCAATCCATTTTTTTTGGTCTAGATTAGGTGATAGTACTCATTTCTATTTTAGCTAAATAGTTAAAAGAGATAAAATTAAAATTAGTCAAGAAATTAGTGTGATAAGTTGAGTTTTAAATTTAACCTGCACGGAAGAAAATATGATAAGTTATGATTATTAATGTAAAGAATTATGATATTTGACTCATTTAAACTGTAGATTTAATTTATTAGTATTTTGGTAAAACTGTAATGATCAAATTGAATTAAATTTTAATTAGTTTATTACGTTCATAGATATAAAAAAAAATATTCTGTAAAATTTAAAATTTTTTAATTAGAATAGTCAGAATGTATTAAAATTTTGATTTAATTTTTTTTTTTTTAAAAAAATGATAAGTTAATGTTTAAATCTAACTTATAAAGATTAAATTGATAACTATCCATAAGATGTAATTGTCTTTATAACCTTCAAGTATTGACTGATTAAATATGTTTTGAGTTAATTGTTATGTATGAGTTATTTCGTGTTTGTTGACTTTATCTTAGTTGAACTAATTTAATTTTTTTTTTATATTAAATTTAGTTTTCAAGTGTAATAGTTAATGGATACATTTATAATTTGTATTTTGAGTATTTTAAAAAGAGATGTTTAGAGGCATAAACTTTGACAAAGCAAAACTAGTTGGGAATAAGAAAAAGCCATGGAAAAGGAAGCTTCTGTTTTATGCCTCATCCAAACATGCCTTTTTGAATAATTTCCTTTGCTTATTTTTCTCCCCCTCCAACCCATGTGAAACAGAGTCAAACAAATTTGTAGAAGCTAAAAAGAGAAAACCTAAAGTTGATTTTTAAATTACTTTAAGAATCAAAAAGTCTTTAAGCCACATTCGAATCTTCTTTTTCAGTCGATTACCTACTCTGCGTTGTTAAAAAATCAACGAATTCTCATGGAAATTTCGACAGAGTTTCAGAAGATTTTCATTTTTACCACTCTGTGAAGCACCAATTCTACGCTCAGTTATTGTGAAATGTTAGAAAATTTCTGTAACATACATAATTCCAGAAACTCACTGCAGGCTTTTCACCGAGCTTTTAACAGCAATCTAAGCCGAGCGCGATGTCCTTAGCATCTCTGCTTTCCATTCTTTATTAACTTTAGCAATGAATTCTTCAATTCTTCTTCTAAGTGCATCCTCTTCACCTTCACCACTGTCGTCTTCATCAATCTTGTCGTCCTCAACATCCCTGTCCTCGCTCCTATCGCTGATATTTCCTTCACCTTCATCTACAGGTTCAATCACATCCACCAACACACTGTTTCTGTTGAAGTTCGTCTTCTGATCATCCGCATTTCTGTAGACGCCAATCGGGAGAAGAGTTTCGGTTTGTTGATGGACGTCGGAGCCCGGTCTTGATCCTGCGAGGATGATTACTATGATGAGATTGAAAAAGCAGAAGACGAAAAGAGAGTTCGATGCAGCTTGAGTGATCAATTCCAATGTAGAATCAAACATCGCTGCTGAGATTATTTGAAGAAGAAGATGATGAAAGAGGAGTTGATAACGCTCTAATTTTGCTGCAGAAGCTGGAGGAGGTGTTGCGTCCTTTTAAATCCTGTGTGTTAAATTGAAAGGGAAAAAGAAAAGTGTATTGGAGAAGATTTTTGCAGGAGAAGCTTTTTATGAGGGGAGTAGACAAATAAGTTGCAGTGGGAAAAGCTAAATAGTATAAGAGCTTTTTGTTTGGTAACTGCCACGTCACACCATACGGGAAGCTTCTTGCCAACTGGGAATAAAATTCTGTTCTTTATATTCCAATACCAAATATTAAACATCATCATTTAAAAAATATAAGTAAATATCCCTAATGCTATTAAATTTAGTGAAATTGTAAGTACAAAAAATAATTAATTCACTTTATGCTCTATAAATACTTCTCCAAATATATTAGTTTAATTAATTACTTAATATCACAAAACATTCTGCAACCAATAAATTTGAACTATCAAAATAGTGACTGCAAAGCAAGTGCAGGTCCCTAAATAAAACAGGCATTCTCAGACAAAACATTATCACTACAACGAATTGTCAAAACTCGAAGATAATATTGATCTAAATTTTGCAAAAAAGAAGATGAAACAGGAATCCAGAATGAACCAACAGTGTGTTATTTCTTCCTCTTCTTGTTTCCCGCAGCATTACCCTTGTTGAAGCCTCTAAATTCGTTTGTGCTTTCCGTCGTGTTTTGTTTCCTCATGCTTTTTCTTCCTCCAAATCCAAATTTGGAATCCCTAAATTCCCTGTTTTTCCTTTTCTTCCCACTCCCACCAAATTGCTTTGCTTTCCCTCCTGACCGGTCTCCAGAAGCAACCCCGGGTCTCTTCTTGTTTGATTTTGCAAATACTTTACCATCTTCAAAGTTCAAACCCAGATCACCATCATTATTCCCTCCTGCAAAGCCACTTTGCTGCCTCTGCTTCCTCCATTTCTTAACAGTCTCTATGTCTTCCTTCTTCTGCTTAGCTCTCTCTTTTAGTTTCTGTGCTTGAACCTCTTTAGCTAGTCTCTTGGCCTCCCTTGCCTTTCTTCTCTGCTCAGCTTCCTCCATCTGTTTCTTCTCTGCCAAAAGTCGTCCCTTTACCTTCCCCATGTGAGCATCTGACTTCACCATCTCAGCATAGTAGTCGGAAGGCCTAAGGAATGGCAGGCCCATATCCTGAAGCTTCTCGAATGCCTGCCTCGTTCCCTCCAAAGCCTGTGTGTAGAAAGCAAGTTCTCTTACAAGGTCATCGTTCACATCCACCTCTTGTCCCTGATCAATATCAACCGTAAGCTTGTGTATCCAGTCAACATTCTCTGGCCAGCTAATATCTTGAAGCTTTTCAAGAAGCCCATCTCTGTTGTAAACAGCATTTTTTGAAGGTTCTGCCAACTTCACAACTTCCTCTTCATCTGATTCTGACTCTGCTTCAGATTCAGATGCTTCTTCACTAAGGTCATCCAGCTTATCATCTTCCATTGCATTGTTTCCAATAGCAGCTAATTCATCCAACCCCATTAAATAAACCTACAAAAAAGCCGAGCGTAGAATTCCAGTTCAGGCTTTAATGCAGGACTAACTACTTTGTAATTTCTACAGAGACATGTTTAACTTCAAAGTCGCTAGTCACCACCAATTAAACAGAGAATACAAAAACGCAGGAAAACACCAAACCCAAAAAAAATGAAAGAAAACACCCTATAGACGAACATCATACTACCACAAATCCACTTTCTGTTACCTAACATACAATCAGAACTAACAACTTCTAAGGTTTAACTTAATGCTCAGGTACTTTCATTCATTGCAACTAACTGTTTTATTTCTCTATTTGTTCTTGAAATCCAATTATCTATTTTGCTCATAAATTGTTTGTTTTAAAATTATAATTTTTAACAAACAAATATCGATGAAATGAAACCAAAACATACATTTGAAACTAGCCCTAAAAATGCTACTCTCTTGATAGCATAATCTGCTAAAAGCACAAAAGAGTTTTCCTCCTCTACTTCCCATAATCCTCGTCCAGGAGATGAAAAAAGTAAAGATGAATAGGGTTAGAAGTAAGATGAAAATGGAGATCAAAGCCTTTCACAAAGGTAATCTGGACAAAAACCCCTAGAAATTTAAGAAAAAAATGGAGGTCCCTAATCCTATTAGAAGTAAGGTCGGGCTTTAAAGAATTCACTAATCTAGACCAAAGATATCTAAGGTTCAAAGTGGTACAAAACAGGAAGGCATAAGACACCTACCTTATGTTGTATAGGCTAAATAATCAAGTGATTTGCATCAAAATTTAAACAAAAAAATCTACATGTGGCATATTTGTGTGATATTGTCAATCGTATTTATTTATTATAATATATACAAAGCAAAGGCAATAGGGATTATACAGTAGTTACATCCACAAAAACACAAGTAAAACAAGAAAAATGAACCAAGAATTGCAAAAAAAAAAATTTCCAAATTAGCTCATAACGTCATGCAATCTCTCAACACCTCCTCTTAAACAAAGGATCCAACCGCGTAGCCGCTCACATCATTTTCATCAGCAAAACAAGGCTATTTTCCTCTTTATTTACTTCGTTCATTTTGTTGCATTTATCTCATTACCACCTTCTTTAGCATGCATATAAACCAATCCACAAATTTAAACTACTCAACTAGTTGAGTACTCAAACTCTAAGCTAAATAACTTCACATCCCAAAAGAAGAAGAATAACAAAAAGAGGATACTGAAATATGCCAAGTGATTTAAGACTGTATCACTCCCAAACTAACTAATATACATTTCAACAAAACATCAAATGGATAACAATAGAGAGGAGAGTGAACCTTAATCCTACAATCCTTGATGTTAAGGGTAACCAAACGCTGAAAAAATCCTACTTATGTCTTTGAAAATTTATTTGATAAAAAATAAAAAGACCAAACTAATGCCCATATGATATGAATCTAAGATGTAAAATTAAACCACTTCCTATTGCACACACAAAAGGCCTAACAATTGACAGAGAGCAAACACCACAAACACGAGTACTGTATATCAGAAATAATTCATTCCACTCTATCTCCAAGCTTTTATGCATAATATATATATATACACACACACACACAAAGGCATCAATACATTCATAATTAAAATTCATATTTTTACATGCTGTGAGTAGAAAAAGCAAAATGAAGATTCAGATATACCTTCTTTATATGATGCTTCTTACTCTTGAGTCGGGCTTATCCTTCAGCTGCCTCCTCCGGGGCTTCTGCCTCTTCCCTCCGAATATGTTACTCTCTTGTTCTCTACCCGAATTTCCTTTTCCTCTCTATATTCTCTCAGCTAACTTTCTCTCTAGCTCGGGCTTTTCCACCAGCTCCCCTCGTTCAAGCTTGGGTTCCGCGCTTTTAGAGGCAAAGGAGCTTAGAATTCACCGCTGGAAATCCTCCTCTCCCTTCTTCGCCTGCACGCGTCTGCGTCTCTCTTCAGCTGGCAGTACTCCTTTAACCAGAAGCTTTAGGGCTTTAGGTTTTAGGCAGGTTTTCGGCCATAAAAACGACCTCGTTTCGTTTCTAGAACAACGTGGTTTCGTTCTTAAAACGACGTCGTTCCCATCTCTCACCATTTGTTAAGAACCGGAATGGGCCCGCCCAATCCAAATCCCCATCGAAACACGACAGTAAAAAATCAGGGCTAAATTTGGAATATGATGGGAAATTAATCATAGTGGGCCGGGCCGGATATGCTCTTGATTTTATGCACTCGGCACTTGCCCAATGGATAGACAACGCATATTCTTTTTCACGTACTTTGCCCATAAAATTCGCTGGCCCCACTGAAATTGAACGAGCATCGCGTGAGGACCAGAGTCGAAATCTGGGCCGTCAATTTAACAGATCTCTTCTCCACGATCAACGGTCTCGATTCGCTCACTCGTGGGGGAATGGAAAGACTTTCCTTCACTGTAACTACCAAAGTAAAATCACTTTGCGTCATTTCCTCCGTGGAAGCTTGGAAAAAAAGGAACTCGACGCATACTAGAAAAGTAGAACACGAACTCTTTGTGGTCGAACATTATACAACAATGGCGACGATCAAGGCTGTCAAAGCTCGTCAGATATTCGACAGTCGTGGAAATCCCACTGTTGAAGTGTGTTTCAGATATCTATTTAGTTGGATCTATCGATACTTTTTCTTCTGTTTTCTGATTTTTAATTGAAGTTGCAAAGAAGATATTCACTCGATGTATGTGTTTGCATGATTATTACGTTTTGATGGAGATATATTCCAGTTTCGAATCTATCTGGTTGTTGAGAAAATGTGGATATATGACCTTTGATTTATATTCCTTTTTCTGGGCAACCAAACAGCGGGTCATTAATTTGTAACCTTATACTGCACTTATTACTCTTCCATTTGTTGATCGAATGATAGTTAATGCCGTTTGGGACAGGTTGATGTTGTTCTTTCTGATGGAATCGTAGCTAGAGCTGCTGTCCCCAGTGGTGCTTCAACTGGTAAATTATATGCTTCGTTTTTTTTCCATTTGTTTTTTTTTTCTTTATGAGTTTTTTTTTTTGTAATTCTTTGGCTGATCATGCTTGTTGAGACATGTAGTTGTTTTCTTATCTGTGCATGATTTTCATGGAAAGGTATCTATGAAGCTCTTGAGCTGAGAGATGGAGGATCTGATTACCTTGGAAAAGGTGTCCTCAAGGTGTGTCAATTTTCCTTATGCAAAATCACTGTTGTTTGAGGAAAATAGGACATGTTAGCAAGTTGTTTGACTCACTGTTATGTTAACATTAAAACCAAATGAGATGGCATTTTTTGAATTTGAGGCTAAAAAGGGTGCGAGGAATCGCTGGAGAATGCTTCGTGGTTTGTTCTGCTCCGTTGGATATTCTTACTTTTTTCCGTTTGTGTTATCCGATTTTAACTAATACTAACAACTTGGTTATTTGTATTTGTATTTTTTTCTTTGAATTTTCTATCAAAAGAAAAAATCCTTGATCTCAATTACTTGATGTGTAAAATTAGATCGTGATTTTCATATTCTCATTCAAAATTGAATTAGTTTCATTCATCTATTAACTCTCATGGCGATTAGATTTCTATTGCCAGCTCATGCTTTTGAGCCCAACTGATTGTAGGCCTAAAGTCCAAAAGGTGCAACTAATTATAAACTCGAAAACCTCAGTAATTATTTTTTTTGTAGATTGACCAACTAATATTGCTGTTAGAGATCTCCTTAAAACTGATGTTTTAAGTTCTTCTAATTTTATGTTTACTACATGTACCATGAATTTTGGCAGTTTTTGATATAGATGAATGGAAATTTGATGCTGTATTTAGATTTTTTGGAATGGAGGAAGTCAGGAGCATTATTATGCATTTTTAACTTTTGCGAGATAAAGCTGAAAACTACCACAATGACATGTTTCTTTTTCGTGTTTCAATGATGGCAGGCTGTGGAGAATGTGACTTTGATTATTGGACCTGCTTTGGTTGGCAAGGTATCATCTTATCCAGTTTAAGTTTTGTTTCACTTTCTTGAAGCTTACCTGCTTTGTTATTATTATGTAAATGTGACCTATTGTTATTTGCATTCCCAGGACCCAACAGAGCAGACCAAAATTGACAACTTCATGGTACAGCAACTTGATGGAACCGTCAATGAATGGGGTTGGTGCAAGCAGAAGGTGTTCTCCAAACTGTGGATTCATCCTTTACAATGATGCTGATTGGACTGTTGCTTGATTTGTTAATTTTATTGAATATTGCCAGTTGACATTTTTCTTTTTATTTCCTCAGCTTGGAGCTAATGCTATATTGGCAGTGTCTCTTGCTGTTTGCAAAGCAGGTGCTATGGTGAAGAAGATTCCCCTTTACCAGGTATATGTCGGTTCCATTATGGTGTCCCCATAAATCAAAATGGTTCTTATGTTTATAGCTTCAGTGTCATTCATCTTTCCCTTGCAGCACATTGCCAATCTTGCTGGTAACAAGAACTTGGTGCTACCTGTACCTGCATTTAATGTCATCAATGGAGGTTCTCATGCAGGCAATAAGCTGGCTATGCAGGTAGTGTTGGTCCATGGTCAAAGAACTTTTTAGATATTAAGTGCGTCTTCTTGATAGCTATGATAGATATTCTTCTGCTTGCCTCTCATAATAGGAATTTATGATTCTACCTGTTGGGGCATCTTCCTTCAAAGAAGCCATGAAGATGGGTGTAGAAGTTTATCATCATCTTAAGGTTGTAGGTTTTTTTCTTCCTCTTTTCTCTTCTTTCTCCAATTCATTGCACATTTGTGCTTGATGACTTGGTGTGAACTGATTGTTTCAAAACATTTCAGGCTGTCATAAAGAAGAAGTATGGACAAGATGCCACTAATGTTGGTGATGAAGGTGGTTTTGCTCCTAATATTCAGGTATGTAAGGTCTGCAAGCTTAAAGTACTTACCAGTATTTTAATTTTCAAATTGTTAAAGGCACCAGTAAACGGTTGAATAAGTTTATAATTTTACATTATTTTATTCATTATCTCTCCTGAGCCATCTCAATAACATGGTAAAACAATTTCCTCCCTAAATCAATTAACAAGCAAGTAAATGTTAGTAAATTGATGATTGATTTTGTACCTAAAAAAGATGATGATTGATTTGCAGGAAAACAAAGAGGGTCTTGAGCTGCTTAAGACAGCTATAGCAAAAGCTGGGTATACTGGAAAGGTTGGTTCTCTCACTGTTTATCTGCCATGCCATCTTGCACTGCATGTTACTGCTTTGTCATGTCAGATTAAATCCCTGGATATCCTTGCAGGTTGTGATTGGGATGGACGTTGCTGCTTCTGAATTCTATGATAGCAAAGGCAAAACCTACGATCTGAATTTCAAGGAAGAGGTAATTTAGTTGAACTTGTTTTCTGTATGTTAAGATCTCCATTCTCTGTGAAGAAACATATTAAAACATTTTATTAGATGGTGCTTGCTATGATGTTTGAGTATGATTCCTAATGAACAAGTCTTCTGCTACAGAACAATGATGGATCCCAAAAAATATCAGGAGACAGTTTGAAGAATGTTTACAAGTCATTTGTGTCGGACTATCCAATTGTATCCATCGAGGATCCATTTGACCAGGACGATTGGGAGCACTACTCAAAGTTGACAGGTGAAATTGGTGAACAAGTGCAAATTGTTGGTGATGATCTCCTTGTCACAAACCCTAAGGTATTCGTTTCTTCTTCTTCAATGATGCAAGTCAAAAGTGGAAAAGATGGAAAGTAAGTATTTTTGTGGCTGCTGCAGCGTGTGGAAAAAGCAATTAAGGAGAAGAGTTGCAATGCCTTACTCTTGAAGGTAATTATCTGTCATGATCTCTCGATTAAGAATAATATTCAAGAGGTTCCCTGGTGCTAGGAGTTTGAGACTACATAAGCTAAATCCTTTTAACCTTTGTTTGCAGGTGAATCAAATTGGCTCTGTGACTGAAAGTATTGAGGCCGTTAGAATGTCCAAACATGCTGGCTGGGGCGTCATGGCTAGTCATCGAAGGTATATATCATGCTATTTCTATTTCAACCTCAAAATTCTATCCTTGCAGGATATATTTCCATTGTTTATATAGTATTCATTGTGCTATGTCCTTGTTAAATCTAGTGGTGAAACTGAGGATACCTTCATTGCAGACCTTTCGGTTGGATTGGCGACGGTAAGTATTATGGTTTGTTTGTGTAGTGAATTTCTTTTTAACTTTTTCAGAAAATGTACTCAATTTCTCTTAACAAGGAAACAGTTTCTTTTCCTGGTGGAGAGATGTAGAGAGCACAAAATTTTACACTGCTGGTCATAGTTTTCCAAAATTAAGACAGCAACATCTTTGGTTGCATGAAAATTTGTCCTATTGCTGGCACATACTGGTTTTCGCAAGTATGGGCTTGAAATTGATTTCTCATTATCTGCTTGAGCTCATGTTCCGCGGTTATTTGTCCCTTTCCATAAACCAGGGCCAGATTAAAACTGGTGCACCATGCAGATCGGAACGTCTTG